ACTGTGTGAAGCGGAGGCATTGCGAGCACTGGTATCACACCGAGGTGTAATACCTTTTCAACGCAATGCCTGCGAATACCTGCAAACTACCCAACTTCTACTGCGTGCACAACTGGCTACTCCACTTACCCCCGCCTATTGTTGCTTGCTGCTGTCCGACCGTCCTGTTCGGCGCGCTGTAAGAAATGATCGCAACTCGGTATGAAGTGCTTGCTTATATAGCCGTATAGCGCAGCTTTGGTMAKTGCAGTGAGGTGAAGTTTAGTATGGTGGAAAGCACTATGTGTGAAATAGAAGCATAGCGCAGCTTTGGTCAATGGTGGAAAGCACTAATATAGAAGTGAAGACTATTTGACTATGTTGAGATATGGTAAAGATAAACGGTGTACAGTGTTGGAGTAAATTATTGTAAGGTAGTAAAAGCCACTTTACAATATTAATTCAGCAAAAGCGGAAGATACGAAAAGAAAACCAAATATATACATATATAAAAGAAAGCATACATATATATAAGCATATTCGTCGAAAATTACAAATTCCTCCATTTTAATATACATACATATGTACACATTTATATGCATACACAATCATATGGTATATACATAACATAATTTAGCATAAAGCTATAACACATAGTAATACTAAACTACCTGTTTGGATGTTCAATTCGTGTCTCCAAACGCACTCCCAAATCCCATAACAAAAACAATTTACAAAGACAAGTACTCGTTGCTTGCAAAATTTCCAGCGATACCCCTTGGGCTGTAAAGCAACAAGCTGGATCGCTTATAACATTCAATCAAAGGTAGGTAAGAAGAAAAAGAGAAAAAAGGCATTACACTTATGAATGGTAGGTAAGAATAAAAAGAGAAAAAAAGGCATTACACTTACGTATGTACCAATGTGTGCAGCTTCTGCGTGACATATGTATGTACATACAATTTTTATTATTTGCACATTATATTTCAAACATACACATTTATGTATATAATTCAAACCATAGTCATACTTATATATATTACATCCTACTATTTTTTTCAGCGTTTTTATAAATTTATGTGCGATTAGCGAATTACTATATGTTAGATTTTTATAACATATATACAAACATATATAACAATTACATAACTACAAGGGATACGAGCAAAGAAAAACAAAAGGAAAACGTCATATGGACTATATAAAGCATATGCGTACGTGAGCATATGAAAATAAATACATTGATACATGCAAACAATTATACGTATTGTATTTTTCTTTCGCGCTCTTGACTCGTTTGCAGATACAAACTGAAGATGCACGTTAAAAAAATTTTCAATCACATTTAAAAACAAACAAAAAAAATTATCGAACTTT